AATTCTATATATATATATATATATATATATATATATATATATATATATATACCGATTTACGAGTGTGTACTAACGTAAAGGTTAAACTTTGGTCACATGAAAAATCCGTGTATTAGCCAACTTCATCATTTCTATTGCTACCACATATTATGAGAGTGAGCTGCCAAAACCGTAAGTTCTTTTCAGACATGGGCTATACGAGGTCCAGAAACCTTTTCCGGAAGAGATGAAGGGAAAATCCTGTGGGCGACCCCGTTGTGCACTTCAACCCCAATGGATTCCCTAAAAAAGTGACCCCCAGCAGTGTGTTTAACTTAGTATTTTGTTTCCCCCTAATGGAGATCAAGCCCTTTAAGGTAATTACCCCGTTCCGGTCGCGCAAGCCACATAAGACTGATGGGTACCCCGGTCTCCTAAAAGCGACCGGAAAACTTTGAGTTCTGGTCCAAATACCCCCAAACAGGAATCTGTAAAAGTAAAGATAACCTCCCATGGCGATCGATTTCTTTTCAACCAAGCTGGGCCAAGTTGCAAAACGCCAAGCTTATCTGTACTGGTCAACTCGGATGCATATTCCTAATACCGTCTAATGAGTCTGAGAGCTGAATTTTCCACACGGACGGATGGTTCTAAGACTTGTGTGCACTACAAGAGCGTGAACATAGCGGTGGTTGGTCCACTCTTTTAAATGAAAACTACGAGCACTTACAGGGATCGTGAGTTCGGTCACTCGATAAAAGCCTGTAGTCCATCTAGATAGCACAGGTTCTTAGACGACCACATCAAGTGACAAGATGCTGCTTTTGCTCAAGGGGAACTGGAGATCATCTGCTGAGATACGCACTGGTCTGCAAATTAAGTAATTTAATCAATCTAACAGAGGTTCAGAAGTAATGTATACGGATCCCTCGTTCATAATATTCATCACAGTCTTTACAAACCTTAGGAGTACCGACATCTTCGCTGTAGTTCCAAGTGAAACGTTTGTGCAGCACGTTCGGTTGAAGAATACTATACGAGAGATGCGGCTGCTGTTCGTCACAGCATGCATACATGTTAGTGTCCAGGTAGGTTATAAGGCAGATGGAAAGTCAAGCACCACGCCCAACTGATGACCCCCCCCCCAAAAAAAAAGTGAAACCGTTAGTGAGCTGTCGGAGTCTTCAGTAACCTTATACGTAGTGAGTACTGGAACATGGATACTCATAAAATGGTGACGATGTTATAGATGCTGCATAGGACTTTCGATTTTTCGTTGTGGGTATGCTGAAACGGATTAGTTTCGAACTGAGTTCGGATGGTATTCTCCCGAGGCAGAAATCAGGCACCGCCGGCCTGAACTTGCATTACACTCGTATAATTTGCCAGACGCAGATAGTTCATACCTTAATGATTTTTCGTGCAAATCAGGGTTTTACCAGCCGTTGACTAATTTAGAAAACCATCCGACCACTGTTGAGTTGGTTGTACGTGGTTGCGGCGTTTGTAAAATGCACACTTACATTCATACCACTCCCTCTCCTGTGCCGGCGCAATTATCCTGGTGGCTCCACACCGGAAGGTAAGCACATTACTTGAGTTCCGCTCTTACTACAGTCCATCAGTAGTGCATATACAGTCACAGTGATCAATCGTGAACATGTTCACCTGTTCAGACGTGATAATTCAGGTGCGTCCAGTGTGCGCTGGTGAGGTAGTGGTAACACGCTCGTCTCACATGTTCGGAGTTCAAACCAGCAAAAGACTGAAACTCGAGCCCAGTGTTTCTCTCCCTTTGGTATGGAGTCACAAGAATAATTGCGCCAGGACAGGGAGACTGTTCAGATGAGGTGATGTGAAAGCCCAGTGTTTCTCTCCCTTTGGTATGGATTCACAAGAATAATTGCGCCAGGACAGGGAGACTGTTCAGATGAGGGTGATGTGAATCGGAATACTGCTGGATTTTCAGAATGTTTGACCGCTGAAAAGCTATTTGCTCGAGTTTTCTGGATGATGCACCGCGAGGATTGATGTTTGATGAGATGGAACGTTAGTTAGCCGTTAGTTGTGAGATCATTGTCTGAACAAGTTAACAACGGATTAGCTCGATATCCATACGTAAACTCGAAGTCGTAAGCTGTACAAGTCGACACAGGCACATTTTCCGGATATTTACATCCTGAACCTGCTTGATCTCTCTACACCCTTCCGGTGAATCCCAGTGAGGATGAAAGCGCCTACTTGGTAAAGTTGTTCGGGATCCAACCAAATATTTAACTGACGATAGGACACATCGGAAGTGCTTATTAGAAGGAATCAGTCTCAACGATAGAATAACTGAAGTATCCTTGCGCACGAACTTGAAACGAGCAAGCGAAAGCGATCACAACAAACAAGAAACATCAGTTTAATTAGTCTCAAGTATCACTGATTTTTGCATGGAACTGACGTTGTCCTAAGATATACCTTCATCAAGCTTGAATGGTGTCGTTATATCTTGAACCGCGCGCGACAGTAAACAATAAATCATTCTCTCCCATAATTTCGACTGATCCTTATACGATCTTTGGAACTATTAAAATTTGTACACTACCAGAAATAAAACAATTTGAGACCGCGGCTTAAACGCGGGTCTTGAAGGTGTCCTACCCATACTCTGGATTCGGTTTATCCAGTATTTCGCTTGGACATACTTCCAAAACCTTACAATTTTATTTGCATGAACGCAGGACTAAATGAGCTGTAAGAAAATGAAAACATTGGGCGTTGCAGCGCACACAGACTTCATAGATTTGTCCCATGCGCCTTTTCTAGAAACGACTTCACTGTATGACAATCAGGCTACCGAGTGCACTTCAGTGTTTTGATATCAATTCGCCTCATACCAGTCGAAGAATATGCACGGAGTTATTGCCAACAGCTCTCCCGAAAACACGAACCCATACTAAAAGTGACCGTCCTTGCAAAGAGGAAACCGTTGGCGTACGGTGATTTTCCAGTGACACACAGACCCATAACTGATAAAAGCTTCAAGTACGAACCTTCAGAAGGCTGAAAACCCTCATGAGTAGAGTACTGAGTACTGCTGTGCTCAGCTGTGTAACTTCCAAATGGTAGGTGTCTCATAACGTGTTTGATCGGGAAATCTCGCAATTAGGTTCTGTTGAATAGTTGAATATGATCTCCAATATGGATATAGTTTGCGCTCATTTTATTCCCCCCCTTTAGTCCACTTCGGGTGGGGGGGCGCAGTATTGGACACAGATGATCTTGAATTATCAGCGCTCAGTGGTCTCCCAGATAAGCCCCTAAAGTTGAAGTCAGGATGTCAGACTTCAAAGATTCTGTTAAAGAACATAATGGCTTGGTTTATTTGCCTTTTGAGCAACCCAGTTAAAGTTCCCGGGTATTAGAAATCTGCTGGGGACGAATTTAAAGGTGAAATGGGACGGCGTAAAGCTCACCCATATGAGTGCGGACTTTCAGATCGATCTCCCTCTGAACCACGTTCACTCAGTCAGTATAACTTGACAATGTCTACGAAGCTAAATCAAATTGGAGCTGAATCCTAATTGGACAAAATGACTTCAAATGGTATTTCGGGTTACTAGCTACGAGCGCATTGGTTGTAAACTTTCCGTTTGCCTGAGGTTACTCCTTAAATCTGTCAACCAATGGTGTATACGAAAGAGCCTTTCTGGTGTCATTATTGGACATGCTATGGGTTGGAAAAATACATTTTTCAAATGTTGTGGTCTCAATGATATCTCTCTATCGGTGAAGGTTTACTGGACCGATCTCGCACATGTTATTTGAAGAGGAATGATGCAAGAACAATGATTGTTTCAAAACATTCGCAAACACTCGCTTGCTCGGTTTTCAGTCAGTAAGGCACTGAGGCGAAAATGGGTTTGATTAGTTAAGTCCGGTCACAAGATACCACGAAGCGAAAAGGGACGGAAATCATGTAAGCCTTAATTACGGCCGCGGTTTGCGTTCACTGGTCAGTCTAAATCAGGTTTGTCTAACTTGCGGTGCAGCTGGACGTAGCGATACGAAGATAGAAGGAAGTTGGGCGCTACAAACTCTCTTTGGTCTCATACCTGACGATTTATGAACATTTTTACTGGCGTTACTTAGGGATGCGGAGGCTGAGGGCGAATAAATATACAACACTTCCGAGCAGACAAAACCTAACATGCCACAGATAATTACCTATACCTACCTATATCTATGCGAAACTCATTAGCCTAGTGGGAACCCGAATAAATACTATCCAGTCACAGGCGATTTGATTGGACCCAGGGGCTTCAGTCCAATATTAATCGCGGAAATTCTGTCCATACGGACAGTTCGTACACTTCATATAATATGTTGCAGGTATTTTTCTCCCTTGTTTTATGGACACGCCATCGGATGCAGCGCGCGGTATTATGTCAAAGCATGAAGACAGGTGTATGTTTGGTTTTCCACTACCAGTCCTGGTTTGTGGTCGAAGATGCCAGTTTAACGGAGCACCCACATTTTTCTCGTACATGTGTTTTGCTGGAGCCTAGATTTATAGTCCTGCTACTGTGGGAAGCAAGCTAAAATGCCAAGTTTCTCAGTTCATTTCAATAAGGATGCAATGGAGACGAAGAGATCAATGTGCACGTGGCAGCACCTTAGAGGCGGTAGAACTCCCATGGAGCGTACACACGTATAAGCAAATCATAGTTTCGAAAAAAACTGTTTACTCAAGGAACAACGGTAAAGTTGTGATTCAAAACTGAAGCATGAAACAGATCTGTAGTAACTAGTGGAGGTGCGCCTGTCTGGGAGTGAGTGTGTGCTGGTTCGGATGAACGGGTGTAGCGGCTGTGGCCGAGAGGTTCATGCAAGCTCACAGTTGCTGACTGCCTGTAGGTTGAGCAGCTCGATAAACTCTTTTGGAGTTCGAAGTAGCTCACTAGGAACCATGAGCCACGTGAAAGACGCACTGGTTTGTGACAGCCTGCGGTGTGTATGGGGAAAGATAAGGTGAAAAAAGTAAGCCAAGCGTATGAGGCAAAAGCCATGGTTTGGAAGACAAAGGCAGTACAGGATTGCCCATGACATTCTCTAACCATCTAGTTAGACAAAAACCAGCCATCCGTGCAATGACTTGAAGAATTTATGTGAAGCAGGAGTCCTGAAACCAGCCTAAGATAGCAGCGCGTACATTAACACACACGCTCACTACTCAACGCACGACCAATAAAGTACCGCTGCTCTACGCTTCAAAACGACACACTGAGGATGTTACCTCGACTGATGATGAAATATCTGCAACTCAATTGCCCAGACTAGCGAGCGAACCAACGACAAGCTAATGTGGCCTATAGGAAGCTGAGCTGAAAGAATTCCTCGCTCTGTATCCATGATGGTTTCTCAACATGTAGCTACGAGTAAACCATCATTATCATCATCAAAAGTAACAACAAGAAAGAAAACTGGTGTCTCACAGGTGTTCAGTCATGTAAACTACAAGCATAACTTTATATGGGGAACACTAGATTCGGGCTTAATAAACAACAGATCGTCATAAATGAATCAGCTACTGGTAACTGGCAAGTAGAGGATCCACATTCCTATCCGGAAGATTGCAGGTTCAAATCTTCCCCGAGGTTTGTGGTCGGTCCGTTACTAACAAAACAAAACAGCTACACAATGCTTTTTCACCTCAGAAAATTCGACATTTGAAAAAATCACCACCGTCCACAAGGTGCAAATCAAACGGTTAGAAGAGAAGTTTGTCTTGAATTTCTTCCAGTGGAGGCAGTGTTAACAAATTTTCACCAGATATGTTAGCAACAAGAATAAGATGGGTGCATGCAAAGTTCAATACACCCACACAATAGGCCACAACATAGCACACGACCTAAGATGTGGGCTGCTGCCCAGAAGGTAGATGGTTGATTTATCGATCGATCCAATCTAGGCTTCGGTAACTGATAGCATGTCATCTGGCCTCTTTATTTTGGGGAGACACTGTATCTGAATGAGTGCTTTGCTCTGATAAAGTCAACGCCTACATAAAAATGTAGAGGTTATCATACAGAAAGCAAAACATTGTGACGTACGAGCTTCACGGACTTTCCGGTTAGTAAACTCGCGTTCTAACCACTGGAACTAGTGGTGCCCGATGACAGTGTGAGTAACCGTTAAGCCCCTGTCCGATTACTGTGCTGCCTCACGGCTGTTAAGCCTGTGTTGAAAAAGTCAGACCAGCCAATGGACTCGGCGCGGCAGACAGCCAGTGCAATGGCCCGAAGCTACTTGTGCTCTATGAAAATTTCATAGTAGGCTACAAACGAAACCCTATTTGACTTTCAGTCAGAATTGTGGCGTCGAGTGAACCACGACAAGACTGACGCAACCTTCGCCGTCGGCCAGTTTCGTATCAAATAAACAAACGTAAAGAGGAGGCGTGAGGAAACCCGACCAATGTTTGCAGTACGAGCCCGTGAGAAGGCTCGATTCAGCCCTTACCACCGACAGCCTGCCAAAGTACGGCGGCTGGTTCCTCAGGAGAAGAGTGGGAGAATACTGCTGCACCAATTGACGTGAGACAGAAGACAGATTACTGAGTGGGACTTTGAAAGACGAACTGAGTTATCGGAACGAAATGGGGTTTGAAATCGTAACCTAGACGCCAAAGAAACAAGAAATGGTGACGCTGTCCACGTTGCGTCTGTAATTCGCTGCTGGACTCGACAGGGACGTGGGTTTGACCTTAATGGATGCTTGCTCACATTGATGAGACTGCACTCTATCTGTGAGACGACAAACTCAAGACTATAAAGTGTAATCATCATCATCGTCGGCAGCATGACATCAGTGTTCAACACCGATGCTTCACTGCCATACAACCATGAATGTGCAGTTCATGGTTGTACGCGGGCCGGGATACTGCCAGGGCGCCCACACCTAGACAGGAGGACGACTAGGGTCCTGACCCAAAGCCTTTGGCTCAAAAGCCTAACCGCAAGGCAGCGGTGTTTGGAAGGAAATGCAAATGCATTACCATTTCTACGGAACAAGTCGCCATATGTTCCAACCCCCAACCTGGAGGGCCCGGAGACTGTTCGTCAGACCTCTAACCATTGACCAACCTGGTATGAGAGACTCTGCGAATGTCGCGGGACACTATCCAGTATAGCTCAATGGATAGCTGAGGTGCGCAAACCGTCACACCACGGTAAGGTCCAGTCTCTTCGTGACGGATGCGACATGACTAGCAAGGAGTTCCGACCGGACAGTACAGTCAATCGGGTGATTCCGTAACCGAACTCACCATCGAAAACTGTGTCCACATGACTGAACACGCATGATCTACGAACGCAGAAGTTTAAAAATATAGGGGGACGCGATATTATTCCACACTTCTTTGGTGGGGACAAATGAGACCAGAGTATAGGAAGCTTCAACTTCACAATGTCGTGTATGCAAGATAGTGTTCGGTTGCTGCGACAGATACTGTGATGTTGGAAACACTATGATTTCCTGTCTGATGACTGTTTTATCTCAGCAATTCGAGATCCGAATAGTTGCGCGGTTGGTTGAACATGTAGCCACATCGCGTTCGTTTGAACAGATTCCCTATCGTCCTTACGCAATTACTTTGGTTAGTCCACACCAAAAGAGGAAGTACTGAGCCCGAGTTCCGCTCTTTTAGAGCCAATCACCGATGAGTATCTGTTCCGTGCAGAGGACCATCATGTAGCCTAGTGAATAACGATATGCTCGAAAGTAACAGGATAGCGAGTGCAACAACTGACTTGGCCTGTCACTATATATCCTCTGTATAAGTTGTCCGTCTGTCTATTTCATGGTGCAAAACTGGTAGCCGGAACAAACGTCTGAGGTCAAGTGAAGACGGTTCAACCTGACTGTTCAAACTGCGCTTGGTCGAAACGGGTACGAGTTTATGAAAACCAGAGCATACTGTTTAATCTTCCATACTGGTACGAAAAACCACGTTAAACCGGAGAAAATGTAAACAAAACATAACCAAGGTCAGCTGGCACCTGGGAATATGTAGAGCAGAACAAAGGTACCTGTTAAGTCACAGAGGTGATCAGTACGGCCACAGCTAACGTCGCTAAAACCAAACAAAATGGCTTAGTTGATAATCGTGTAAATAGGTGCAGCGAAACGTGCCAAGCAACACCTCCATAGCTTACCAGCTAAGATTAAGTATGTTGGAGCAAAGATTTGCAAATGCCTCAGGAGAACCGATGAATATCGCTTCCAATTCCAGATTTCGTTCAGCATCTGGCAAAGCAGACTTGGGTTCGACACCGAGCGCTCGGAGCATCCCAAGAACCATGCTGAATCCAATATGAAAACTATACACAGAGGCGATCGGTTTCAAAATAGTCCAGTAGTATAACCAATGGAATGCACTGTTGATGGCGTTGTTCAGGTAATGGTCCTGGAATGGTGATGTGACGTGCCGCGTGCCAAGTTGCGTATTGGAACCTAGGTGAATGTGAGAAGCAGCAAACACACGAAAGTGAAGTAAGTAGGTATAACTAATTGGATGAGCTTAGTCAAAACGTGGTTGTGTAGGACAATCTGTTGCATGTATTGGTCTGAGTTTAGCTCGTGTCAAATTACAAGGAAACATACAATTGCGCGTATCATCTGATAGGACTGCATCTCACCTAACACCCTTGATTACTGCCCGCGAATTCTGGTGTTTGTGAAGAGGTTAGTCACGTTGCGTATCACGAAGAAGGAGTAGAATGGGGAAAGGAATTTGATCTCTTTTAGGAGGGATGGGATCGCACACTAAGACGTGGTTGATAGGGAACGTTACTATGAACTCCTCGGGAGGTGGCCTCCATTTGGATGTTACTGCAGACTTCATGCACATTGATATTATCTTTATCTACTCACTCATCAGCCTCAGGGCTTTGAACAGTTTTAAACCACTTATCAGCTAACGTCGTTGACGATCCACTAAAGAAGATGTACATGCTCATTGAGGAAATGCTTTCAGCTGTCCGTACAGTACTCTCCGCCACTTCCTATACAAAGATGGTGTAGTACCATCGATGTACAGACCAGCTCCGAATTCCTAATCATAGAAGATATAGTTGGTAATCTTTCGCATGATTTTTTTCGTCACGGGCAGTTGAATCAAATCCCAGTAAGGTAAAATGGTTTCCACTTTTTCTCTTCAACGATTGGGGAAGCAGTACACTGAGCTGAGCGGAGGAATCGATTTCGGCGTCTCATCATCAGGCTCTATCATGCACCTGTGTATCTCATTTTTTACATTTTTAGTTGAGTTTTCTCAAAATCAATACGGTACCTATGAATTCCTACCCAGGAATCTCTAGAACCTTAACTCCTAGTGGTCTCCCCCCTACAAAACCTCAAGTGCGACCACTAAGACAGGGGATCGTGAATTTGGGTGTGAAATTTGTAACTTTTGAAAGAATATCTCCCAAATCTCTACCCCGCGTGTCTTCTAGACAATTTGTCCCTGCCCAACAAACACAAAGATAAGGATATCGTGCACTGGACCTTCTGAAATTCTGCCGCCAGCTAGGTGTGTTTCAGAGGTGTTTGAAGAACATGGTTTATAACAGCATAGCACCACGTTTGTCGCCCGCGTCTGTAGAGATCATGTGAAGTGATCTATCGAAATCAGTTCCTCATGGGCGGATCCAAAAAGCCAACAAAGGCTTCAGTGAACTAACAAACGTAGTCTCTTTTGAGGAAGGATAGCTGTAGCTGGAAAATATTGGTCAGGCACCGTAACTAATGGCCTTACATCGTTTTACCTGGACAATGCGCAACGAAAACAGTCATTCATCAAGTTTTATCCCCATAGGAATTCCGTCTGGGATTCAATGCCGGACGATATCTCAATGTTACAGGTATGCTTACGCAAGAAAGACACTCATAAGAGAGTACCTGCTAAAAAGGGTCAATTTTAATTGGTCTCTTGGAGATTTAGTTACACCAGCTCTGGAATGATCACCTCAAGAGATCGACCAGAAAGGGTCTCTTATAGAAGCCTCCCTGAAGAGAGCAATCGATAGCAACAAAGCAAGTCCATTTGTCGACCGCATCCCAGGGGAGACGGCATGAACAATTTGTTGACGGCATCAACAATCGGAAGGCATAAGGACAGTCGCAACCAATGGATTGAACCAACAAAATAGAGGAGTGGTCGGTAGTAGAATTCAGGCTGTTGATATACAGCTCTGAATGGTCTCATCTGAGTAAGTCTATCAAGTTCGGATCGGAAGTTTCGCTCAGGTGAAGGTATTAGTTGACAACACACCATCGTGCCCCGTAGTGTTACTTTCGCTTGCGAAAGTACAGGCACCCATTGGAGGACCTGGAGGAGTTCAGAACAAGCATTTCAACACTTCGGCTAACCATGAAACCGTTTTATAGCCCAACAACCAATAGAAACGTTATGCAAGATAATGATAGACAATCGAGAAATCGAAGAACGAGCAAGATAATGGAGCGACCCAAAGACTGCTGCAAACATATCAAACTATCGCCTTGTATCTTTTGTTTTCTTATTTTGGTGCGTGCAGATATGATTTTTTTATCCATCCTCATTTTAGCAACGATGAGAAATACATGCTCCTATAGTGGACCTTACATGTGACCACATCATCCAACGCTTCCAGGCATAAGCAACAATAGTCGATACGTCCGAACGCAACAGTCGGAACGTGATGGTTCAGTTAGCGTTTAGACGATACTGTCTCACGACTGGTGTCGGTAGTAAATACCCACCAAACTGGTAATGAGCACGCGAAACGAAGTACCCCTCTTACCAGATTGGCCTGTGGATACAGGCTTGGTGAACAGAGTTGGAACTAGTAAGGCATGCGGCTAAACTATTGATGATGATGGTGATATCGGTGGGCTGCTACTGGGATACACTCAGCAGATCTAGGTAGCATGGCGGTAGTGCTTACATCATGAAATATGAACGGTGGTAAGTGGTTCTAGCTGGCACAGTTTTGTGCGTTGACGAATATAACGGATAAGAATGAAACTGAGTATTGGAGGTAACAACACAAGAGGAGGCACGGATTTATCTATGACAGCACACAGCATGCCATCTCATGCTGTGTTATTCGAGTACAGGTGCGTCGGAACTGTAAGCTCTGTGCCGAAGGGCATGACCAATATACAGGAACACAACTGAGTACATAAGTGGGCAACGTTTGTCACTGCCTCCAGCCAATCTAGAAGTTCCCGTTCTGGAACTGGTACTCTTATGTGTTGACCAGGGTTGGGCGTTACAATGAGCACTAGGGTACATGAGCGTGGGCTTCGTTCTTCCCATCCTTAAGAGTTAAAGGCTCAAGAAGGGGCACTTCGAACAAGTGACCGTTTCCCGGCCTCGTCAACTTCAAAGCTCAGAAGACCAAAAGGCATATCACACTTGGCTTTCTAATTCCCTTGATTTTCCACATTATTTCACTTTCAATCAGCTAAAAAATTAACACTATAGCAATTCACAATGATTAGTCAGGATATCAGTTACAAGTGAAATTTCACTCAAATTGGTGTAAAAAGCAACCGGACCGTTTGTCACGTATCGTGTGAACTGGACTGTAGGGTGTGTGCGGAAAGACGAACGTTAGCGACGAGCAAGATAGTGGGCTAACAAGGAGAGTGGGAAGTGCCTGATCTGCTTACCGGCCAGCACAGTAGCGAGAGCTTTCTCACCCTGTATGAGAAAGTCGTGGAATGCAGTATCCATCTCCTCCCCCAAATCTTCCCGATGACGCCGGTTCGATAGAGAGAGAACAGACAGTGCGAAGTTCCTGTCGCTATTATGACGAAAAAGAGAGGAAAAAGTGCAGGTTCACATGCATTAGTGGGGTGCGGAGATAAGTTGTTCCAAAAGGAGCATTTCCACATTGCTTTTGTCAAATGAAATGCAGTAAACGAAATGTAACTTAATTCCGTTCACAGAGCGCAACCGGACTATTCTGAACCGTCAGTATGGCCTTCATTTTGAAAAATTCTGGTAAGTTGATAGCACTCAAACCAACAAGAAGGACAAGTCCATAAATTTACGCAAATCTGCTAAGTAATGCGGCTATATCCAGAGACATAACGTGATGTGCTTCACATGCGATGAAAACATGCAGACCTCCGAGTCGATGATAGGCTAGGTAATCGACCACGTACTAACAGCTATCGATGAACCCCAAGAAGGGCAAAAGCGTCGGTGGACCGTCGAGAATTTTCATTGACCTAACGAGTAGTATTATGTTGGAGAGAATGCTACAATTATTTTGATATCGTTCCAGCTGAAATATGAGGTAACCACGTTCAGTTGAATAATATTAAAAACGAATAATCTATGGAAATTCCAACTGAGTTGTCATCATCATCATCGACAGCAAGACATTAGTGTTCAACATCGAAGCTTCGCTGTCGTACTGGCATGAGTTTATTTGTATGTGAGCAGTTCATGGTTGCACGTGGGCTGGGATACTGCCAAGGCGCCCACATACAGACAGGAGAATGACTAGGGTCCTCAAACAGAGCCTGATCGCAAGACTTGGCGGGAGATGCAAGTGCATTTCAATTGTTGCAAAAAAAGTAACCACACATATCCCAACCCCCAACCTGGGGGACCAGGAGACTGTGTTCGTCAGACTTCTACTCATGACCAACCTCGTATGAGAAACCCTACGATTGTCGCACCAACACCCGCCAGTATGGCTTAATTGGTCGCGGAATTACACAAATCGTTACTTTACGGTAAGGTCCAATCTCTTCGTGATGGTGTTATCTGTCGACAGCAACTTAATTCATTGCAACCAGGACTGTTCCAATGAGTTTTTTTGCATCCTGTCCTTCAGTACCTAGTAGATTAGAGGCTGTTTTTCGGTGCGCATGGATACATCATTGTGATTTCAACCGAAAATGTTTCCAACGTTACCGATCAAACTTTCCCTTAACACCAAAGTAACCATGAAAAGTGCGCGCAACCCACACAGATAAGCACGTCGTGACAGACTCGCGCACGCACAAAACACTTTACATCATGCATTCACTCAGCTAACGACTGAAAACAGAATCACACAATGAGAGTGGTCGTATCGTTAGAGTTTCTGCAGTTTTTCTCTTGATCACATCTTTTTCTGGTAGTGTCGTCAGAACGATTCGAAAAACGGCAAAATTTCAGCATAGAAATTCGGGCATAGGTCGCAGTTGGTGAGTGCTGTCACAATGGCTTAGGATTAGTTGGGTTTTTGACATCTATTTTTTTTAAACACATACTTCCGACCGAATAAGGCAACTCCACGTTATCAGCTTATCGCTAAAATGCATGGTGGCCAGACTGACCACAGCTTGGGCGTCTCTGGAAGCTAAATCAGTTTGGCCCTGTTGCTTTCGGTTTACTGTATCAAAAAGAAATCTACTGCTAACAAATGATACATGTTTTACATCTTTCGTGAAGTGAATGCAATGTCGAGTGTGAGATCGTTCAATGGTTAGGGTACAGACTTACTGACCGGATAGTTCATGTTTCGAACCAACCCCGGCATCTCGACTGCTATCGTCTAGGCCTAGGCAACCTGGCAGTATTCCAGCCCCCGTGCTTCTTTCCATTGGCATGACAGCCAGGCAAAGAAAAGGTGTTACAACTGAACCATACTACTACTACTACTACTAATTATTATTATAATTATACGGTTCGACTTAAAGCAGGAAGATCTTCTGGAAAAAATTTAGACTCCTTGCTTTCAAAAGGGTACATTAATAAGGCTGGCGTCAGAAGTATATGTAGTACTTATGTGTATGTGATACGTTGGAATCAGGGTTGGTTCCGTGAACCTGAAAACGGAAGAGTTGCTCAATTTCTACTAAATGCTGATGCCGTTTGGGGTAGAAGCAACAAGTAATATTTATAACAGCGGCAAAAAATTTAAAGCGGCGATCCAGATTCAAACTCACGCATCTTTTTCAAACAACAACAAAGCGGCTAAGTAACGTCGGTTACTGGAATCTGATGAGGCTGAAGATGATCGATCTGCCCGTCCGGGAGCATAAATGCTCAAAGCAAGCTTGTTTGCATAATTGAGCAAACCACACTGCTGTGCATTTTGCCAGGCCTGGTTCAGGCTCTGTGTGAGTCTCTGTTTCGAGGTCACATTAAACGACCGTCTGACACCCTGATGAACATCACTGTGCGAGTCCACAATTCGTGAGAAAGCAGACATCAGATCTGATCCCAGACCGGTGTCATCTGAAAGCTGGAAAAGTGTAGGATATACAAATGCAAGGTCAAGCAAACGAGGCAACGACGTGAAATGGGTGACTAACTCATTTGACAACCAGCTCATAGTTCAATCTGGTCAAAGTATGCCCCAGTTTAAGAACCAATTTGAATTTCAAAGTTGAGACGCTAAAGTTTGGTGCAACGTACGATGAACACAGAAGAACGCGCAACTGCTTCTGATTAGATGCGTAATATTCCGGGGTCGTATCAAAATAATTATTGATTAGATACTCGTTTCTATCTGGTGCGGGACAAAGACACCCTCTGTCGTTTGTCATTAAGTGATGCATTGCATTGGTCCACTGGAAAAAACTATACTGGCATGTTACTCGACTTAGAAATTAGGGTTATCTTGCTGGGCGATAACAAGACCTAACAAGCTCTCTCGTTCGAGTCACCCACTTGCGGGATGTGTTGGACTGACAACTAACATCACAAAGAGGCAAACCATTGCACGGATAATGAAACAGAGCAAGTCTTCACATGCAACGTGCGCGAGATATCTTTGGGATCACTGGACTTGCTCTGCGATAACTCCAACAGTTTGAGTCAGAAGAGATTCCCTTTTGGAGCACACGTGAATTCATTGCGAATCGTAGGAAATCCAGTCATAGAACTGGCTGCACCAGCGCGAAAAATGCTTGCCGATTAGCAACAAGGGTGTAGTAGATGGGTAGTCCTACAGCATTCCAATCATTCAGAAACACGCGCGATAGCCACAAATTTTCCTGTCATAAAACGCAACTTGTAATTCCAGCAAAAGGGTTACGGGACGATGAAAGTTCAGTGTTTAATGAGAGTCACCCTGACTTGTGCATGTGTACTTTACTAGATACCGGTTCTTAGTTCCGGAACCACGTTCTAAAATTGATGCCTAAAGAAGCATAGAAGGCAACTCAGAAGGAACTCAAAAAGTAACGTAAAACGGTAGACTTTTGTGCATTTCAGGAAGACCTGCTGGGTGCCAATGGATGATTGATGTTATAATCCACATGGACTCTGAGCTTTCCATAGCCCATGAAATGGTGGGGATGCTTTTTCGGACGAGAAAATCCAGACGAAACAAACCTTACTGATAACTTTTTCCATGAAATTTTACTTGCTCATTGACAACGGTTTCATAGTTACCGGTGCTCATCCACATTGAATACATTTGGGTTCGAACCGTGGGAAAAAAGTACTCTATATGATTACTATTCCACCTTGGTGGCTTGAGGTGGAGAAGGGTGAGTAGCATGCGGAATTCATGTTCATTCCTTTGATGTGGGGCTGGTGACAATAAACTTCTTTGTGGTCGGATAGCATTGCGAGAAAGCGTTAATCACAACCTATAAAGAGGTTTGGATTATGACTTGGCAAAGCTTCCCTAAAAGCTATTCAAACCCCTGACAATTTAAATCGTGTTAGCATTTATATACAATAACCCCATTGTTTTTCCCGTAGTTGTGAGATGCGCCAGGGTTTTGGTTTATTGACGTCCTAGTTGTTATCGTGGAGGGAAAGCCTCGTATGATCTATGTATTAAGGTGGCACATGAGGAAGGGTTAATGAAATTGGATTATGCGTTCCGTTATTTGAAAGTAGTGCGTTTTACAGAGCCTTCGATAACCCGAGTCTCCTCTAGTTCTTCTCTGAAGCCACCTCTTACGCAGTAGTTGTACCGTGACAGAGGAAGACGGTTCACACATGGTGAAGGCATTTACTACCTTGCTTCATCTTCCACCGGAGCTGAGGATTCATGCCTACTAAAATAACACGAGAGTACCTTTGGAGGCGGAAAATTAACATGGGAGAGGCTGTAACTCTGTGAACTTTATGTTGGTTCCATCATTGTTGGACTGATACCCACCGGTTTCTTCATGACAAGCATCTACCACGTCCAGCACGGGAGTTAGAAGGCAACTTTTAATTAAGTTTCATCCAACCATTGTACGGTTACGATAGTTCTGAACATTCTCGGTAAGAACTTGGGCTTACTGCTATGAGTGGTGTAGTAATGAAAGCGAGTTACAGGTGGCGCCACAATTTCGTGCATCACCAAGATCAGTAATTAGAGTGCAGACGGCTGACACAAGAGCTTGTGTTTCGAACGCAATGCCGACATTCACAACAATCTTGTCAAGGCATGAGCAGCCTATCATTTCTCATGAATACTTCAGTTTGTATGGTGGCGAGGTTTCGAAAGGGTGAGACGGCTGAACGACCTAGTTTCCAGGAACATGAGTAACTTTTGTGCCCTATCAGGTACGTAATCGCTCAATTTCCGCTTACACCAAATCACAAAAACAAATACTTACACCAGAACTTGGACTGTCACAGCCTTCCGCAGAAGACGAAGGTACTAAGCTGAAGGGAATGGAGCAAGTAGAAACAACAAAATGAGTGAATCACGTAAACGGAATAGTCAGGATAGTGTCACGTTTTAGAACTCAACCGGAAACGCATGCAAGCGGTCTCCGACGCTGGGATAGTCTTACCCATGTAAGTCATGAATTGCATGGTAACCAGAAGAAAACAGTCTTTAAGGCGATTCCCATACTCAAATTTGTTATCTCAGTGCTAGTAATGGTTGTCAGGCGTTTTAGATCAGTGTGGTAATAGAGCCAACAAACATGCTGAGCAAGTATTACACACCACACCTGAACCCTTATTCATACGAACAGTTCTAACCGCACTTCGGAAATACGGGTAGTAACTATGACATTTTTGTATTAGATGAAATCCGCCTTTAGCAGTTCAAATGATCCACCGGCGAGACTATTCTGGATAATATGCATGAAATGGTGAAACAAAGGACTCGAAGGCTATTCACCTTTGGTCGTGCTTGGATGTGGGCTTGGTTATCTGACGTGTGAGGGAAGTGTGCTACAAACTGAAAAACTGAATCTGTGGAAAAATAACACTTAGAACCAAGCTGAGGAAGGGATTCAGGTAGGGGATATCCGTTCCCTCCCAAGCAGCGAACAGATAAAACGGACAAACATCATTAAGTAAGCTACCAATTCTGCTTTATGAACCCCACTCCTTCCAGTCCAAATTCTACAAATCAAAACACCCAAAAACAGTGACGAAGTGGACATGCAAATTACGGTTAGTAGGGGAAAAATCAAAGAGCTAGAAAACAAAAAAACAATGTCTTTAGAAAAACACACCCATTCACATACCAATTTAGTTTTAACGGAAGTCGCACCTGGAACCCAGCTGAGTCTCTCGTTGAGGATGTTCTTCTCAACTGAATGTGATGAGCCAAGCCATCTCATGTTTCAGTTGGTACGGTATTCGAGATGTCGCGTATTACATACATAAATACATGCATTGCACTACTTATAAAGTTGCTGAAAACTTTTCGACAGTTTACGACCAATTTCTCCCTTCCTGCGGCTTATCTTTCAGCTCGATTTCAGGTCAGTCTCCCGTCACAACCAAATTGGTGCGCAAATGAGTGTATAAACCGAATTTCATGCAATTCGGGTACAACAGAACATAAGGCTGACGGAAATTCGGGGACTGTGCCTGCCTGATGAGACCCAAGAAGGGTGAAACCGGTCGTAGATGTCGACCAGTATTCAGCAACCTTATGAGTAGCGTATTACGTCTAGAATAATGTCTTATTCCCAATGAATATTTCGTCTTGTGATTGAAGCCAATCTATATTGAAAAGCCACTAAGGTTGTTTCATTCTGAGAGCCATCGGCAGTGCACATCTCACGAAACCTATCGTTGGTTCCCATATATCCCCACACTACCAACAATCAACAAGCAGCTCAGATAAACATTAACTCATACGGAGTGAAACTTCCAGCTAAGAAGTCGTGACTCGAGGAGCCAGTTAACACGTGACCATGTGATGTGGACTTCATGGATGAACGATGAGTGGCATTATGTCCTGTCTTTGTGGGAGTTAATCACATTGATCAGCCCCTGGTGGTCGAAGGGCCCAGTGTTCCTCATTAACAGGGAGATCGCGGGTTCGAAACTCAATAGTTTCATGGGATGCGCACCACTGCTGCTGAATCTCAGTGAGTATGTAACAACTGTACAGTGCTTCTCGGCTATTCAGCGTACACTGACTTCACATTCAGGATGAAACCTGTCGGAAATCCCCAAACCTCCCCACGTCAGCAATATATTATTTCTCCGTAGAAGATTAACCGACCAGAGTCAAGTCCACAGGCAAGTGACGCTCTCATCATATTGAAAATTAAGGCGCAGCACAAAAAAAACTCAACTTGCTTTGGAAAATTGTGCTGATAAAAACTGTGCCACAGGTTACGGTAGGAAGCCAGCGAAACCAATGATGGGGTAGTCCATAAGTGAAACCCGATAACCACGGAGGTGGTAGTTTTAGTAAGGCTTTATGCTGCGATCATCGTTGTCAGGCTTTTATCAATGAATGGTAGTTGTTTAGATTCAGGACAGCTTAAATATCATGAAGAGATTTCCTGTTCTGTTGCTTATGCTCTTCAGCTTGTGGTTCCGGGAGTCAGTCCAATCAGCTTAATGGGTAATCATCCCCAGGACTTTAAAGTACAAATGGAACCCTATTAGGGACCCAGCGTTAAATCCTGTGACAAATGTGTGTAAACTGAAGACTAGACGAGTAGCACTCTTCCGAGAGAAAAAGACGGTTGTGATGACATTCGGCACCGAAAATACCAACGGAGGACGTACGCACGTAGGGTCATTAACGAGTACATCATCTGCAGTGCCGCAGGGGTGTAGGTCATCGATTCGGCTTGCACCATTCCGTGTTTGATAAAATAATGCTGGTCCCGAAAAGACGCATCTGTCCACCCGTTCTCAGATTCCTCTAAAACGGATATGGGAAGAAAGAAGAGGTTAGAAGAGGTTAGATATGTGCATGAAGAGATAACTGGCTTTCTGACACAAAAATGGCGTACGATCTCTGTAATGAATGTAGCCAGAAAGCGTGTAACAGTAAATTGCTAAAAAGAAGAGACACTAGAAATCACAAATCATGGTCTACAATAAGTTCGAAATTCTCATTAAGAGAAAGACATTCCAATAGTTCTCGCAGGAGCGAACGGCCTAGGGACGGAACAAAACCCTCCGCCAAACTGCAGAGTTTCCATTTCAGAGGTCTCCAAAACTATTCCTTTTTTATGAGCCCTTTCTTATCATGGATATCTTTCCCTCCCAGAATGCCGCGGCGTCCCTTCTATAGCTTTAAGCCGAATAATACTGGGTTCGTTCCCTTATAAACAGGAGTATTGAAACATAACTTGAGCAAAACAAACTAGTGGAGAAATAAAACAAAGATGGCGCTCCGATTGTTGCTGGAAAACATATCTACGACAACCTACTCGTTCTTTATCGCAGTGTTTCCATAAGATAACAAATGACCAGATGAAATAGAAATACAGGCATGTTATAACGATGAGCGTTCATACTCATTGTGTACACTTGACGTGATACACCATATAAAAGCATATAAACCGATTAGGAATTTATGCGCCGGGTCGTTCCTCTCCAGCGGATTTTTATGCTTACTGGATGGAGATATTAAGCGTAGCAGACTCAGATTGTGGGCGATCGCAACCGTAGAAAAAAGCGATTTGCCAGAAGACCTGTCTGTTTGGTCGCCACAGTGGTTCTTGGAAGTCATAAAATAGTTTGCTGTGAGTAAGCAGATCTGTCGTTTCTCTGAGGAAGCAGCAGCGGGAGGATATCCTCTGTCCAAAATGAATAAGGATGTTACTGGGTCATTTAGTTCGTCTTATTTGTTTGCAAGATACCAATCTTACAGAAAAGAAGGCTGGCACGATACTACTTACGAGTAGTATTGCAAGGCTGACTAGAAATCACAGCAATCCTATCCACGATTTCGTCATTTAGGGCTAATCAGGTAGATGTAGCCACACAATTTTACTCAGTCTTTCATCTTCCCCGAACATCAATTTGCATGTTCGACTTTAAGTAATTTGCATTTTGAAACTACGATGAATGTGAGATTCGAGTGACGAAATAATCTCATTTGTGACGTACTCCGACATCTCTGATATCAGTTCAACTGAATCCTAAGAGAGCCTTTTGTGTTTTACATTACGCCGCAGAAAATCGAAAACGAAAAATTCATTCATTCAATCTCTGGTGAGTGAGGTTAGCGTCAAGTGACTTAGCAAAACCATCTTCGGATTGTACGTGTCCCCACCAAGAAACTGATTGACGGCTACACACCTGTTTTATGATGGAATGCACCACAATCAATACGCAAAAAATATTGACAGAGCTAGAAACAGAAGAGGAGCAGGTCATCTGATGACATGTCAACAAAACAATAGGTGATTGGTGCTTGGAAACTTAATGAAACGGCAGATCTCAACTATTGTATAAGTCAGATTCACAAGCGGAGCCAAAACGTCTGTGCACGTGAAATCCAGATTGTGGAATTATACAGATGTGTGGTATCAAACAGAGTCACTTTTGAAAAGGACGCATCCTTTTGATGCGAGCAAGGTGAATGAGGTCACTTGTTGCATAGTTTGTTATATCAGTTTGATAATCTTTTGTGTTTGCTGACAAGACTAAAAGCGACGATTGAGCAAACACAAAGGCAGAAGTACAATCCATACTCACGTGCTACCTGGTAACGAACGGTGGAACGGGCTACTCGCAGGAAGCACCAGTAATGAGATACCGTTGAGTCACCAACGCTCGCAATCGCGAAAACTCAAATAAATTTCCGATCAAGAGCTCATGTCTTACCACTGGGGGGGCAAACACGGTAGATGGCGTTGGCTTGTTCGCTGAGCACCGCTACGCACCACTACGCTCCCTAATAACGCACTGATGCTTTCACCTCGATTGGTGATGAAACGCTTGCAATCAAAATTGCCAAACTCAGTGAACATGCCAAAGACTGAGTAAGGAGTTCTTAAAGGCTACAGTGCTGAAGCAGACCGCTTTAGTTACAATCGTTTTCACGTGAGGTCTCTTGAAATCAATTGCTGTTACATTCGTCCGAACAATACGCACTAAATTCAGTCTAGCAACGCGTGACCTATTAGGCAAACAAGCTGCTGATTCTCACGCAATTCGTATCCACAAGAGCTGCTGACTGACACAAAACTGTTACTTAACTGTAACAGGATAAGTTCTGGTATTTGCCAATCGGTTATGGCACAGAAAAAGGACCAATGATTAGAGCAAAGAACGAAATTTAACAGTCTGCCATCTGGTGAATGTTCTGCCGCAAAGCTCTAAAATTGATCACTCAGTATTCTACGCAACCTGGCCATGTCAGCTGATACAGTGTAAGAGTGTGGGAGCAAGGTATGGCAGTATGATTTCTACCATTGTTGCAGTTATCAAAGGTATTATCTGTCGTCACTCGACAGAATAAATTCATATCACATGAAGTGCCAAGGCGATCCTGTTCTGTTTTCACACACAAGTGACCCCTACGAACCCAGAGGATCCAGTGCATTCGGGTAGAATTCTAAATTGGGAATGGCAGCCAGAAAGCCCACTAATTCCGTTGAACACATGCACCTGGAAGATACAGGAAGGTCAATAAGCCGACTGCATTTATTTTACTGCTATGCCATCTCTGCAGTGCATAGCTGCCGCATGAGTCGGAGGAGGCATAAAGGCTGAGACCCTGTTAGACTGCCGAAGTCTAGGCCAGAGCAACCGAAAAGTCAGTTTTTGGTTCGTCGGTAGTTTCGCATCTCAACCGCTGAACTATCTAGACTTACTTGGACCGGATATGATGGCTCATGGTGGATATGCTCAGCGGTACTAACCGAGTGAACTCAGAAAAGGAACATCACTACGTGAGAACTACTTTCGGAGAGAACCAAAGATTGACTGTCGGGCTTCCGCACATCAATGAATAGCTGAATTTGAGATTGCGCACGGGATAAGTTGCAACCTCCCACTTGGAAAGTCGGAAATCTAGGACTGGCAGTGTCTCAGCCGAACGCCAGCTAAGCGCATAAAGAAAAATCAAGCTGAGGATGGTTTAATTGGGTTAGAGTGTACCAAAACATTGGACAAGAGTCCTTCCACTTTTTCCAGTGAACCTGTGTTATTATTTTATTATTATGAAGAGCTATTGGGAAGAAAATGTAAGTCGATATTATCAAGGCTCTGAAGCAGTAGATCAGTTGCGGAAGCGCGAAACGCAAAAGGTGATTCAATTCACACCAATAAGTCATGTGATGAGTGAGGGAACGAAAACGACAAGTTCGCATGAAAACACGGAAGTGGAGAGTGCACAACAGTACACATTGGTTGACCAACTATGAAACGTAACGTATACGAAGGATGAGAGCTAACTCCACTCAACGATGTAAACGACTTACCTTCAGCTGGACTGAACGAGGGCCTTGGTTTGTGCTCTGCATTTCTGTCGTGTTCACGTGCCCCAGTCCAGAATAGGTGAGGTGAATGATAATTCGATCGATCTTCAATCTGCAAGGAACGGTCGTTTGCGTACCAGATAGGAGGTGTTTCGGATGGATCAGCAAGCATCAAAAGTTGCGTGATAAAGCTGGTGTGCACAAACCAGTCCGGACCTTCATCCCTCACAGATCTACATGGCCCACGGTGAAAGTGGGCTGAAGCACTGGGGATATGGGCTGAGCAGTATCCAGACTGACCCCAATCACCTCCGTCTTCCGATAAAGGGTCGTTGTAGGTGGCGAACTGCCTGGTACGCCATTCGGAACCGATATCTCGATCTGGATTGAACGACCAACAGGTACCGAATGCAACACGACGACGTTGGCACCAGTAGTTCTGTGTGAAGGCAGATAATTGCGTGCAGTCCGATTTGGAATCAAATTCGAATACATACATATATTCATATATATACATGTAAATGAAGGCAATTACACCATTTGAAGAACGTGAACACAGCGGGCAAAGGATGAATGTAGCATGATTGACTCATTTCAGCTTCTTTTTTGGCAATAAGAACAAAATGATGAAAACAGATAAAGCATTGCTCAAATGAGTGGAAATTCCGTTCGTTGAGTACAGATGCAGACGTAAATTTAGCAAGAGAGACGACCATGAGATATTCAGACTCTTAATTACGTTGGAGCTAATAAAAACTCGGCTGAGTTCAAGTCCAGTGGAATCGTAGGGTCATAAACAGTTCATTCCAAACACACGTTGGGAAATTTTGTAAGTAACGGCGATAGCTTCAGGGAACTCTAGCAACTGTGAGTTGAATTAGGGATAATGATATTGAGCAATTCCCCAAGGTTGGCTAGTGACTGTTTCCAAGGGTATTCTTTCCGACCGATGTTCAATCTCTGATCTGGAGAAGTCTATGAGCTGTCATTGACGGTTTTCACGTCTGATCCGAACAACTTCGTTTACAGTCTGCTATCTCGTGTGTTGTCCAAACAACTGGAGGCCTTATTCATCGGCTCGAACTCCTGATACAACCAAGGAAGGCAGGTTGGTGATGTGTGGCTTGAAAATGCTCTTGCTCATCTGGCAATTTTTTGAACTATTAGCTTTAACTGGCTCAAGGCGAAACTGCACAAGAACTTGCTGTTGCACAAGGGCTGTAAGGCCATCTCGTGATTTGCATTGCAAGAAGGAACTAGTATGATGTATCTGCTGCTAAAAAATAGCCACTATTTTTAGACTGCGCGTGGCAACGGATGAGCAGCGACTTTAACGGAATATACCCCGCTAACCACCATATACTCTTTCCGTAAGTGCAACCCTTAAGTTCAATTGCCAATCAGAGGAAATTTCAGTCTGTTAGTGTTGTACATATGGTTCAACCAAAATGGGATCATTGTAGAGGAATAAAGTGCAATTTCATTCTTTTAATGTTTCGATATCCAATTACCCAGACGGCAGTCTTGGAAAGCCAGCTTGTCGGAAACGTATGCGGACGGGGCTGAGTCCACATTCTACCAGCTTTACAGTATGGAGACATAAACGGGCCTCCATAATTTGTAAAGTGTATCACGTCCATGTAGAAAAATAGTAGAGAACGTGGAGTAACCTTTTTGGCTATTTTGCTCACGCTTACAGGGCCGTACTCTCGTTGACAGGTAATTGATGGGAATATTGCTGCTAGAGCCCACCATGAGTATACAGTCATGCAACTAAGGCAGACTCAGCGCCACACAACTTTCACTGTAAGGTGCATGCAGATTACTAAATTGCTCTCATTGCATCACAGTTTTAACCCAAACCGACGTGGAACTTTTGATAAGCCTGAGGAACTTATGAACAGTGAAGTTGATTGTTGGCTCCACAAAAAAACTGAGTTGTTTAGATTCTCGAAGCCACTAATGCCGCGTATTATCTTTTGATTAGCATTTCATGGTTGTTAACAGCAGAAGGCTTGGAAAAAAGATATGTGGGCACACCAAAACGAATCAGTCTGCTCATCAGACTAGTCAGAAATGTGTAGCAACGGTTGTAATCTTTGGACACGTTCTATCAAAGTTTCAACTTCTAATGGAGAACTTCAGCGCAGTGCTGTTCTTTGCCTCAGAAGCATCGACTGCTTGAGATTCTGTAGCTTATCGCATCGACGTTATCGCTGCTGAAGTGCTACTGCAAAGAGCCGATAGAGTCTGGCCAAATAGATCAGCGGCATTGATGCGTCATTTGGGCTTTCCACGCGAGAGCTCAATAGCTTTAGTTAAGACGTAAGCCAAATCTCTCTCAGGGTTTGAACCCAACCCCCCGACATTTCGACTGCTCCAGTCTAGGCTTCGACAGTCTAGCAGTAATTCATCCCTCGCGCTTTCCTCGGGGGCCTGGCAGCGGTGCTTCAAAAGGCTGAAGGATTATTTATCTCCACGCGAGGGCTGTTGGCAAGTCCCCATCGTCCCCATGTTATTGGGTTGCCCATGTCTTAGTGAACGCTGGAGGTGTTGCGCTGGTGCCACACTCTGGGACTGACAGTCTCGTCAACACGACGGCTAGCCAGTCCCTGGGGTGCAGTCAGCTCGAATGAACAGTGTCGCAACAGGTACGAAGACGAAGACAGCGCAAAATCGGTGTGACAGTAAATAAATCGGGACCAAAAAGGTGGCAGCCGACCGACCTAGCAGTGAGCGAACGCACAAATTCTGATGTTACTTTGGCCTTTTTGTCGCGGCACACAAGCCTAAGTGTACCTGGGACTCGGAAAAAAAGCATTTTGATGCGCAAAACTGAGCGGAACCGTTCTGCGAATTTATTCGCACCGTTGATGTCACTCTTTCATCGGAAAAATCTCAAACTAACAGCACTGTTGCATAGCAACAAATTAACGATTTCTGTTGGAATTCTGATAGTCAACAGAGGCCCAGTTATGAGGGATTTGAAATCCGAAAACTGAAAAATGGCCTCGATGGCCTAGAGCCAACTGTCATGGGTTAAGTAGCAGGTTTATGCGCTGCTGATCAGAATTTTTATCATTCGTGAAACACCACGGCCGTGGAGATCGATCACTGGGACTCAAAGTCACCAAATGTTCTGTAACGTGCATTTATCCTTGTCTCGTGGTTAGGTCTTTGAATCGCAATCAGGCCCGCAGAAATGAGGCACGATCGACCGACTGCAGCGACTTAAGCTCCACCCAGTGGCCAGGCTTGCATCGTCAACGCGTCAAGACTGGGGTTGTTGCCATGGGGACCAGCCCACTTCAGCCAGGCCGACTGTCACGCGGCTCCGGTAACTGCTGTAGTCGCGATAGCAAAAATGAAGTGAAATTTTTGGCGTGCGGTTGGACTTCAGTTCGCATTCTATTGGTTCTCTGGAAAACTTCGGGTCCATCAGGGCAAACGATGGCAAAAACAGCACCAGGAATAGGATTTTATTGTACATGCCAGTTTTATGGTCACAGCATCACAAGTCTGTCTCAAGAATCCGGTTAACAATTTGGGATACATAACCGACTAAAACTGTTGTTGAGTATTCTCCGTCTACCATAGTCTAACTATGCCCTTACATATTACTTTTTAACACCACCCTAGTTATGAAAGGTGCGTGCGATTGATGATACGGTCGCAACGGATAGACATATGGACGCGGTTGATTTTACGGTCAAGGCGGCGGACTAAACTACAAACACCGCTTGGTGGTGCTATGGCAACCTAGCTGCTGGCAGTGTGCGGCATTTTAGCTCTGTCGGCGGTCGTCGTTACCCGTTCCGGTACCGAGTGCATTTTCTCCTCAATACGTTCAGCTTTTGTGGATTTGTTTGCGTATATACGGCACTAGACAACCTTCGAAAAATTTTCGCGAATATATATTTTGCGGGGACATTAGTTGATCTATTGAGGTTAAAATATCACAAAGGTTTATGAAGCCTGAATTCTGCTCTGGATCCCAAGAGATGGCAATTAGATGTGATGGGGGCCGAAATGCTCATATTGCCTTAGTTCGGCAAAAACGGCAAATAACGGTCATCCGTAATGACAACCAGTCCATTTATGCAAGAGAGGACTTGGTCAATTAGAGCAAACTGCATTGCCAATAGGTGACAAAATAATGAAGAATCGCCCTTCGAAACCCTGCAACAAGGGCATACTAAGAACTGTCCGCACTGCGGAAAACTTGGGACGGAAACAAAATACCAGCCGAATGGAGCTCCTCGACCGTCAGCCTAGATTTCAAAAAGGGCACAAAACGTCATGTGAAAACCATCGTGGCAACAGCCTAGTATCCGTTGCATCTAAGGTGATCCCTGGCATTATTTTTGCAAAAATTGACCGATTGTCGCGAGAGACAGATTCGTGAAAATCAAGCTGAGTTTCGCCCCGGCCGAAGATGCATCGGCCATATCCTTATTTTGAGACAAATTCTTGAACAGCGTCATTCCTTCAGACACCCCACGGCTGTTTTTCTGGATCTAAAATGTGCTTTTGATTCTGTCTATCGCGAGGAACTTTGGAGGTGTCTCGCGACCAAAGGCGTCCCGTCTAAATTTATATCCCTTATGAGGGCAATGTATGCGAACTCCTGTGGGTGCGTACGAGTTAAAGGCAAACTTTTACCTGAGTTTACCACGTCCAGTGGTGTAAGACAAGGCTGCCTTCTCTCACCTTTCCTCTTCAACTTTGTTGCTACTTGAAACTACTCTGACTCTAATGAAACGAGGTGCTGCCGGGACGTTCCCTCGCAGAGTATGACGAAGATACTGCTGCCCTTGGTTTAGATCCTTCAAAAATGCAAACCATTTTAAATAACCTAAATAACTCTGCCACACGGTTTGACATGCGCTTCACACCTGCAGAGTGTAAAGTGATGCTGCAAGATTGGGTTGGATCAAACCCAAACCTTATGCTTGCAGACTATTCAATCGACGTGGTCGATAAATTTATTCACCCGGGCAGCTGTATACATTCCGGTAGACAGACTGGAGATGAGATTATTTCTCGAATCGGGAAACTTAGGGTAGCTTTTGCCAACCTCCGAGACCTATGACGCCGAAACGACACCAATTTGTAGCTCAAGGACAGAGCTTACACTGCAGTGGTGCGATCTATGCTGCCTTATGGATAAGAGACGTGGCCCTCACGCGCGGAGGACATACCAAAGATGTCCGGAGATGACCGTCGGTGTCTGGTGAGAACATTGCACTAGCAATACTGAGGTGCACCAGATGGTCTCAGGAAGATGGAACCGCGATAGATGAATTATTCACGCTTCATAGGTTACCCTGGTTAGCACATGTACTCCGCATGCAAGAAGACCGTGTGCCTCACAAAGCACTTTTCACCAAGCCATGTGGTGAGTGGAAGCGACCGAGAGGCGGAGAGTGCAATACCTGG